AGAGAATTTCTGCGAATTAATTCACAGAACGTGATCTTTACTTAACGCCTTTATAGTTTGAAGTGACTGTTGGCAAACCCTTTTTTTCTTGCACTATGCATTCTTGCCTTATCTATATTAACCAATACTGGTTCTGTCGTCTGTAGAATTATTGTTAACCTCTCAACTGTAGCAATTTGTGAATTGGGGTATAAACTGGGGGGTACCTCAGTTAGTCTTGGAAAGACTAGTGTTTTTAGTACAGTGTCAAGTACATTGTGTTTCCCATGCCTTTTTTGTGACAGACCCAAAGGCATATACAGTGTCGCACCTGTATAAAGTATAAAATGTTGTCAGGGCTACTGATTTGTTAAATGGATTTGGTTGGGGTAAAAAAAAACACTCATCAGAGAGTGATATACTATTTCTAAGAGAATGGAGGGGTTGTATGGTGGGGGTACACAGATTCATTGAATGTGAAGTCATAGTGGACGTGAACACCCCTTTCAGAGGAGAGTACATCGTGTTGTGACCCAATCTGCTGTCAATGCGGCGCAACGGGTAGGGGGTAGAGAGATTTTGCAACCCCCCCCCCCAAGAGAAAAAGAGAACAGATAACAAAAAAAAAAGAATGGAATGAAAGTCAATATTTTACTTCACATTTAACGTATATTGAAGACTATTGAAATGGCCATGAAATGTGACTGTTTTAAACAGCGCCCCAAGTGTTATATGACACCCCCCCCCCCAATAAAAAAGGATTTTCTTGGTCCTTAAATGTTCAATGTTAGAGTTTAGGGCTGCCATTGTGTGTTGTGTAATTGTAATTATGAAATCACTCTGGAATTTAGATGTGCATGATATATGTACCGTACATGTACACGCGTTGAACCCTACAACTGGTTAGCCTACCGGTACTTACCCATGCTCTTTGGTGTAAGTCATTGTATTACCAAATAATGTCATATAGGTTATAGGTTAAATGTAAAAATTGCAATTGTGGGCACAGTGAGTTGGCCATTCACACCTCTAAAAGGATGAGTTTGCTGTGGCTCCACATCTGAATTTATTTTCTTTCACCAAGTTTGTGTGACGTTTACTCATTTATGAAAGGTAGGCACAAGTTTCGATGGTGGGCAAAATAATGATTAGTAGTTTGTGATGGCGTCACATTCGAAAAAAGAAAGATTCTCATAAATATATTGTCCGTGTGGAGTTTAACCCGCTTAGGAAAGGTAGGCACAAATTTTTAATGGGGGCATCATGACTACCCCCCCCATATTACTTTGGCAGCCATGCCCCTAAAAGGGTGTGTTTGTGATGGCTCCACGTCTGAATTTTTTTCTCATGAATATTAATGTCAAGTTGGAATTAGCTTCATTCGTTTATGAGATGTGGGCATATTTTTCCCATGCATTATGTGAACCCCGCCCCCTTTTTTCAATATGGCTGCCACGCCCCTAAAAGGGTGTGTCCGCGATGGCTCCACATCTTGAATTTTTTTCTCATGAACGTCAATGTCTGATGAAAGTTAAATTTTTCTGTCAATCTGGGAACAATATTTCCATGGTGGTCATAATGAAAAACCCGTCCCCCCTAATATTTTTTCCTAATACATTTGCCAAGCCCCTAAAAGGGTGTGTTTGCTCAACATCTGAAAAAAAATTTTTTCTCATGAACATAAACATCTGGGGGACATTTTATTCGTTTATGACATATGGGCACAATTTTTCCCAAGGAGGGCATAATAATTACTCCCCCCCCCCTTTTTAAATGGCTGCCACGCTACCACTTTTGTGGTGGCTCCGAATTTGGAAAACAATTATAATCTATATAATTATGTCTCTGTGAGGTTTCCTGCTTTTGTGACAAATGGGAACAACCGTTTTCACTGCCGACACAACAAGTCCCGCCCCCTTTTTTTAATGGTGCCACGCCCCTAAAAAGGTAAATTTGCAATGACTCCACATCTAAAACATTTTCTGGCATGAATATGAACATCTCTGCCAAGTTTTACGCTTTTATGCAGAAGTGCACAATTCATCAATATTTTGTCACATATCCGCTGGACTATTAGTGAATATATCCGATTTCCCCAAAACTTTCAATATTTGATAAACAGACAAATGCCTACAGCTTCAGATTTCTTCTTCTGCTGATTTCAAACCATTTCCATGGAAACTTGACATTTAAACAATATTCACAATTGTTATTTCTAAGCCTGCTATTGTCATGATTGTCATGGGAAAAAAAGAAGTAACAGCAAACAAAACAATACCAGAACAAATCTGAACAAAACATAAATCGCCTTAGTATTAATAAAAAACAATTAAAACAATTAATATTTGAAAAATTGGTGTTAAAAGTGATTTGAAAGACGTGACTGATATATTGACTCAGAGAATTTATGTCCACAGCCATGCCACCAGTTACAGCAATTATATCGGCCGAGCTGTAGTGTCACGGCTGTCAAAATGTTTTGATTATTCTCGGAAAGATCTTTTCTAAACCATCAAGACTACCAAAAAATAAGCACTTCAAATAAACTGCAAGGCATTTGGGAAGAAATGTTATGAAACCCTCTTCTAACCTGATGATTTTGTTTTGTTTTGCCAATGACAAATGTGACTTCTTCGTCAACACACACCCCAAAATTGACTTTTAATTAGAATATTGCGCACAAGCACAATTCCAGGAAAGATAGTATTCGATGAACTTATCAATGACCAATAGTTTAAGAATGAGAAATCCTGTGCATTCCATGTTTAAGAAAGGCCTAATTAGTGCTAATTATTCACCTTGAATTAGAATTTTGAGCACAAGAGTGAAACCTTCACTAAAAGCTAATTAACGTGACCAAAATGCAAGATCCGCAGTTTAAGAATGGATTTTCCCATGCATTTTGTGCTTAAGAATGAGTTAAAGTTCAATAATGAGCCGCCCGCTAAGGAACTTTTTTTGTGTGTGTTTAATTAGAATGTTGAGCACAACGATCATTCCAGCACCAAACGAGAGTGTATGAGTCAGCGTTTGCAGAATTTCAACTTAAGAATAAAAAATCTCGTGCAAAATCTACTTAAGAACGGCTTTTTTACTGCTAACTACAATTGTACGGTACGGAGGCCAATTTCTGCACGGCTTAAATAGTGAAAACGTAAGTGGTTTTGCAAAATAACGCGGAACACTTGTAAATAGATGGACTCTTTCGTGAACTAGCGCAATAGGATTGAGATAAGCATATCAGATTGCAAACAAAATCCCTGAATCGCGAAATTCCGTGGCAGTAATTTAAAAAAATCAACAAAGTAGGCCCTACGCTCAAAATAACAGAATATTACATGGTTTTGAAATTATAGCGCATTATTTTTGAATAATGCATTCATGCTTTTTCAAAAACAAATTTCACTCAGTGCAGTGTGGCTCTCATTGCAAATTGTAAATTTTGGTTCTCGAAGGGCCCAAGGTGCCCCCAGGTGCCCTCAGGTTGCCAAGGAAGTTTCTTCTAAAAGAATTATTATGGGTTGATAAAACGAAGAGGAATACAGTCGACTACTCCCTTATAATGACTTTCCTTAACCACACAGCTTTATAAAATGTGAATAAATTAATACGAAAAAAGAGCGTCTTGAAGCGTCCGAAGAGTTCCAGCCAATCCCCTGCTTTTCAAATTGGCAGCACTTGTGGTGGCCTGGAAATTGAGGGGAAATGATGTTGATCCAACTTCGGTGCCCCCTCATTAAATGCTGGTGCCTCCCTGTGACCCAAGGGCGGATCCAGAACACAATTTTGGAGGAGGCCAAAAAAAAATTTTGGTCCCCCAAAAAAGTGGGTCACAAAAATTACGGCGTGGGGTTCGGGGCCCGCTTAAGGGCCCGAAATTTTTTGGATTCTAGATGCTCTGTGGTGCGATCTGAGGCAATTTCTGACCACTTTAACCAATGTTTTTTGAGGAAAAGATGGTGGTGTACTCATTGCCTGCCTTTATTGCGATGTCACATAAAAAAAAAAAAAAATTGGTTTCGTTTTGGGGGGGGCCATGGCCCCCTTTGGCCCCCCCCTGGATCCGCCCTTGCTGTGACCCCCCCCCCTCGCATATGCGGATGTCGTTTGGGAAAAAAATTGCCAATCACAGGGGGGGTTCTTCAAATCCAAACGTGGAACTTTTTATGTTGGAAGCCAATACGACGTGGAGTCCTAGGCCTGCTGATAAGTCTCAGGAATAAAAATGGATTCTAGATGTACAGTACTTAGTGCAATCTGAGGAATTTGTGCAATCCGAGGAATTTGGCCACTTTCCCCTGTTTTGATCATGGAATGGGCCATGATCAAAACTTGATTGTATCATTACTCTTTGTGTTAGTTTTAAATTTCCTAGCAGTACTCGCCACCAGGCGGGGGTCCTTTGAAACCCTAGAAACACTCCCATTCCCTGATTTTAAAGGCCCTGACTAAGAAGGAAACCAGTTACAAATTGCATAGATCTCGCAGTGCATTGTAGCGGTTCTGATTGATGCTTATGTATCGGCCATAACAAGTACTTTTTGTGTCAATTATTATTTAGTTCAACAAGCTATTTGAAACAAATAATTATACACGATAGGTGTTCCCCTCCATCCACTAAAAAGTACCGGTACACATTCACAATCGGCCCATTCAAGTTTATTTTGATCAAAATTGAAGAACTTGTATGTATCGCACTGATAATAATATGAAATACTGAACAGTATTTCATATTATTATCAGTTCGATACATGTATTATTGTTTTTTCCCCACTTTTTTAATACTGTTTTTTTTTCTTCACTTTTTTAAAAGAAACTGTGCGCCTTTGGTTGAAAAAGTTAAACACTCTCCATGGACAACTGTAAAAATGTGTAAAACATGCACATGACTTTATTCGGACAGCAGGGATCTATGTTTTCGGATGCGTGGGAAACATGCTCGTTTATGTTTTTATTTTAAAAAAAAAGTAAGCTTACCCATCTTGTAGGAAGTATGTCTGCCATGTAGTGGGAAGGTCTGTGCTTGACTGTACAGTCCTCTCAATTCCTGTCACTATTACCTCCTCATCTCCAACCTTCTGAGAGCGTTCTTCAAGATGTTTCTAAATAATCAATATATGTGGCATTCAGCCATGTTAGTCAGGAATATTGCAAACACACAAAATATAATGGCTAACAAGAATAAAACAAAACTATACTTATGTTTGTGGACAACACAGGGCTGTTTGGGTAACTTTTTTGTGACATGTATAAAGTTTCAAGTATAAGTTCCATCCAGGAAGGATGTGTTGTTCTGTTTATAATAAATGGTGGCAGATAAATATGCGATTACATTCTCATAGCAGGGTTCTCCCCACATACAAACGTGCGTATCGGCCCGATACGCTGGAATTGTGGCCCGATACGCCGACAAAAATGCCGATCACATTTTTCAGCCCCCGATACGCACAATATAATTTATTACACAAGCCATTAAAATGCACAACATTATCGTTTCATACGCCATTATTTCATCTTGACATTCAAAATCTTGACAAAAATCCCGTATTTCTGATGCTGCATGTGTGATCAAAATGCACACGATGACGGGTCTTTCGCGACGACCGCCAGCACCCAGCTATATATTAGCGCATTCAGCATGGTACACTGGTTCCCTTCGCGTGCTAACAGTATCAATGCTATGATGAAGGACCGGAACCAGTGACTACTGCCTTGTACGTGCATACATGATGATTTCGGCCGAAGTTGGATCGTAAAAACACCAAACAAACATCGATGGAGAAAGAGAATTTCTGCAAATTAATTCACAGAACGTGATCTCTATTTTCTGTGTATGTATTTTCCATTAAAATGACGAGATTGCAAAGCTCGAACGTATGGCGAAACATCGTACGCGACTACACGTAGCATGCTTCTTAGAAGCAGTGGTGCAAAATTGTCAGCCACATGGGATGGGCCGTACACAGTTCAGTAATGCACACTGATGCTGCGCCGTGAGCACAGCTCCATGTACAGCCGGCCAGACTGAATGTTGACGGCGCCAGGGGCCATGATGTACGTTAAACATATTGTGGAATCAACTACCTCAAATATATTTTTAACTAGGTGAGGCAAGTTTTAATCACTTTTGATGGTCAGTCTTGATAATTTTCGTGGTGCAAAGGAAAATAATCCAGGCACAAAACTACATGATTCCTTGTTCAATATGCTCCATTCAATCAAGTGTTTTTATTCCTCCATGATTCAATCAGCAGCCCAAAAAATTGGCGAAATAATTTTTCCGACTTACCGACGCTATTTTGAAAGGCATGTAATCGGAAGCAAAAGTGATATTTTTCTTCACCTTAATTTCTTAATTTGAAACTTGCTTGTTAATATAATTCATACTTTCTAGATCAGGAAGTTTTAACACAGGTTTTGAAATGTTGATTTTTTTTTTTAAGTTAAAAATTTTGATATATTTTTTTCTTTAATTACAAAAAATATCACATGATCTCCTCTAAATTTTAAGGGAAAATCTTCCTCAAAGACTCCCCATATGTGACCCGCTCTGCAAAAATGAGTCTGATGTCGCATAATTTGAATTCAAGCTTTTGCCATTTTGAAATGGAAACAGTAAAAATGTGCTCAAAATTTGGATTTTTTTGTTTTTGTTTTATTTTGGTTGTTTGATAGTTTTAGTTCAAATATCTTACACAGAAATGTAAATATTGTAAGAAAAAGAAAAAAAATTATGACTCTTTGGTGCTTTTCTTGGTTAGTTACAGTGTATTTGTCATTTTTCAAAGCCTTTTTTCTCCATTGAGACACTTCTAGCTTTGCAAAAACTTTACAGAATGAAACAAGCACAACAATGCAACCAAATGTCCTAGAGAGGTCCGTGATATACCAAATGAAAGCTTATTTCATTCCCATTTTATTAATGTAGTTAACTCAAAATGTCAGTTTTTCCACAACAGACTCATTTTTGCGGAGTGGGTCACATATTTGCTCTAAAATGTACCAGAGAGCCTCTAAAGTTAAAAATTTTTCGGGGCCCTTAAGTGGGTCCCGAACCCCACGCCATGGCTTCGCAGGTTGGTGAACCACAACAAAACTTCCCCCACAGGTTTGAAAAAATCCTGGGGAGAACCCTGCATAGGGCTTTGAATTATGACGTCACATCAATTTTCATCTTTTATCATCTATTATCATCTATAACAACCTGCCGCTAGAGGGCGCTTTAACATTTTATGACGTCACCGTTATTTTTTGTATCATTGAAAGCTCACATCTTTCACCAATTTTTAAGTACAAGGCACTTCCGGTTTCAACCAGAAGGAAGGGTCACGTGATTTTGAATGTTAAATAAAAAATGATGATTATTTGATCAATTCCTGCAAACATCAAATTTAGGTCTCTCATGGTTGATTTTATATTGATTTTCAAAGATTAAATCTATTCATCTTTTAATAACGTGATGTCACGTGACCCATGATGACGTCCTTATGACGTCACTTCAATTTTCATCTATAACACATCACAGTCTAGGTACATACCAACTTTCAACCCAATTGGACCATGTAGTTCTCAAGATATAGGCCTTCAAAATATGTGCTTTTAATGTGAAGTCACGTGACTCGTGATGACCCCAATATTCGGCACACATCTGTGGGTTGTGGTCTAAGTGTGTACCAGGCAGTGTTGTAACCAAGTCATTTTCTTCCCAAGTCAAGTCAATTTTTAAGTCATTTTTTTTCCCAAGTCAAGTCAAGTCACAAGTCAAATTTTTCCAAGTCAAGTCAAGTCTCAAGTCAAATTTTTACAAGTTTCAAGTCAATTTTTTTTCCAATTATAGCACCAACTTGACAATGTTCATGTCAAAACTGAAGTCCCGAGTCAGTCGGACGCGAACATGTCGGGGCAGACATGTTGACGCGGGAAGCCTAGCCACGCGGTAACGTACGTACGTACATGTACGTACATTTGTCTTATCGACAAATATTGACTTGGTTGGGGCTTTGCCGCTATCTCCAGTCAATTTGACCTTGGCTGTATCCGGAATAGAAGGTACCGTAAAGAAATTGTTTCGGTCCTTTTCTGGAAATTGGAAATAGGCTGCCGACCTTTTGTTGAAAGCCATCCATTTTTTTGAATCGGCGATGCGCATAAGCGATCCACTGGCATAGTTGGGAAAGCTGGATCCCGAGGTTCCTCTACGCCAGTCCGGCGTTTGAAAGAACGACGGGTGGTCTCTGGTTTACTGCTCTCTGGTAGTTGCAGTACCCGAACCATATCTCTTTGAACCAGCCTCAGCTGAGTCTCAAATTGTGAAAAATTGCCAGGGTCAGTGGCTTCATCATCCCCAGAGCACTCATCTTGTGAGCGAGTGGAAGGGGGGTGAGTATCATCAACATCTACGTCAGGAGCATCTTGAACAGAAGTGCCCAAATTCATAGATGGATGTAAGGAAATTCCCGCCTGTGATCTCGGGGGCACCCAATCGCGGCCTGGAGTAGGTGGATTATCTGAGCAGACACTGATGGCAACCCCAGGATCTGGGGGCCCAGTGTGTTCCCCTCTCATCCCGCCCAAAATCGGCAGGATTGCGCCCGGATCCGGCTGAATTAAGCCCGGACCTGGCCGGATTGCACCCGGATTCGGCCCGGATCCGGCCGGATCACACCCGGATCCAGCAGGATTAAACCCGGATTTGGGTCCGGAAATGTGGCCGCCGGAAGTGACCTCTGAGTCACCGTTGGGGCTGATCTCCATTGTTGTTGTTTAGTGAGGGCTGCTAGCGAAACGTTGATGTCCTGGAAAGCTTTTAGAAAGATTTCCGTGGATACACCTTTGTTTTTCTTTTGCCGATGTGTCGACTTACGGGGGGAATCCCCTGAAGAGGACGGCGCTGCCATGTGTTTCCTTTTCTTACTTGGGTGACTTGATTCACTGGATGAAAACTCCGATAATATCCTGGAAATTCCGGGGCATTGATCAAAGAATGATGTTGACTGCGAGTCCGTGGCCCGAATTTGGGGAGGAGGCAAGTCAGTCACCGCGAGTCCTGCCCATTCCGCACGGGTGGAAGCAGGAAGCTCAGAGCGCGATGAATGTGCAGACGGGGCCGGTGAGGATTGAATCCTTTTACCGCTCCGTGACTGGTCGTCCCCGAGCCAGCAGACCAATGGTCCGGAGACCGGCGGCGTGATCGAGCGACTTTTTAACCGCGGGACCCTTACGGCTGGTCACCTGGGGGGCCGTGGTTACACAGGGAGTTTTATCCCCGGTATCCTCACGGCGTTCCATACCGTAGGACGTATGTTTGATGTCGGTCAAAACGCGTAACACGGGATGACCGTTACAGACTACGGCGGTGTCCCTGCGTGGGGACTCACTGCTATCTTGTCTTTTCGTACTATTGTACTACTGAGATAAATGCAGTTGAGAACGGCCGAGGGGAAGGGAACGACCGCTGGTCGTTGTACCCCACGGAATTTCTCTTTACACGCCAGGCGAGGCGGCCGAGGGAAGGGAACGGCCAGCGGCCGATATACCCACGAATATCTCGCCGCTATCTCGTTTGTCGTCGCACTATCGAGATAGCTTAGGACGGGCGAGGGGCAGGGAACGACCTCTGTCGATATACCCAACGAAACATCCTCTTCTAGCTTACTAGCTCCCCGAGCTAGCTGAAACAGTCAGGGGGGAAGGGAACGACCTCTGTCTATATACATAGCTGTCAACTTTTCAAAATCCCAATTAGTAATCAACCCGCACGGTCATTTTCAACTGCTGACGTATTATCAAAAGTGTATGTATACCAGCTTTACCAACATCGAGTACAGGTACATGGTTTACATGTACACATACATGTGCATACCTTGCTTGTTGTGAATAATAATGTACTGTACAATGTAGGCCAAAAAATAATTTAAAAAAAAAATAATTAATTAAAAAAATTTAACAATTTTTTTTTTTTAAATTAATTTTGTTTTACTGTCTGTATTTGTTTGTTGAAGTTAGATAAATAATAACAATAATAACATGTGCGCATATTATTTTGAGATGCATGCTATCGATGTTGAGTTTCGAGTTCGTATTATGTTTTTACACACAATGATTTAGGGCCACCGTATGCCAAATATCCCGCCAACATACCTTGCAAACGCATGCTGATTTATCTTTTCTGGACATTGTGATAAACTCAAACTCTATTACCAATTATTCCAACCATACTCTTGATTATTCAAATTCCATAATTAAAATCTCACACTGATGGGTCTCATCCCGGCAATAAGCGACCAAATGTGCTCATGATCGTCACTGAAAAGCACTCACATGCAGTACACACAACCACACGAGATGCACACAATGACACACCATTGAAAAATATTTTTAGTCTGGTCCTCAAGTACTCCACTGCGCACACTGCATTGTTGTCTATCAGGTGCTTGACGGCATTGCTTATTAGACTTGTCACCAGTCCATCCATTATCGCAACATTTCGCCAAAAGTTTTCGGTCAAAAACGATACTTTAGGCCCCCCCCCAAAAAGTCTCCGGTTTCTGGTATGCGCGCGCGTCGCCGTAGCCATGCGCGTCGGCAAAATGAAAAAGTTTTTTTTTCAATACAAGATTATGTCTCAAAACCCCCAAACTCACTGGTTTGACTGGAATCCTGCTGCTGCACAATTTTAACGTGTTTTTAGATGGGGTTATGATCGAGAATAAGCTTTATGTGGCCTCTCTGGACTCCCATATATAAGCACTAAGTTTAGTCGGGCACCATTTGTAGTCATTAGCTGACATTTGAAGCCCCCCCCCCAAAAAAAAAACAGGTAAAAAAAAAAAAAAAGCCACGTCGCCGCACTACTTTTGGGGCAAGCTCCATACCAGAAACCGGAGCCTTTTTTTTGTGGCCTTACAAGTATTTTTTTTTGTTAGGTAGAAAATGGGAAATATGTAATGTTTTAGTGGCAAACCGTACTTTCGTAATTTAACAAACAATTCGTAATATTTACGAAAAATTCGTAATAGTTGGCAGCTATGGATATACCCCCACTGTACTCGTCTCGCTAGGCCCTAGCTCACCGCGAGCTTTGGGAAAACGAATGGAGAAAAGGGAACGGCCGAAACCGCTGTATTCTTCGAAACGTTTCGCTAGTCCCCTGAACGGCTGAAAGTCTGACTTCAGAACAGGGGGCCCACGTGTGGGGCGACTAGCAGACCTTGTGGAGAATAACCGCACTTCTCTCCGGGGATATACGACGCACTGTCTCCCCTAAAAGGTCTTTACGGATTCGTCCGTCTATGGAGTCATAAACTAAATGCACTGCTTTTTTTTTTTTTTCTAACAAAGAAATATTATTATAAAATAACTGTACAACAGAAATAATAATAATAACTCAGGAAAGCCGACTTGGCTAAAAGGGGATTGCACTCCATCCCAAAGGGAAAACCTACGATGCCTACCCGGCACTGGGCTAGTCCCGCGTTGCCGACCTGGCCCTACGCACGTGGTGTCAGACAAAGGCTGAAAAGCCTGCTACGCCACGTGAAAGAAAAACGAAAGCAAAATGACTCCAAATGAGAACTATTTAACTCAAACCAAACTCTACAGTATTCTACACAACTCACTTGGTTGATAAATTCTATAAAACAAGACTCTTAAAGCGAAAATCGTACAAAAACTCGTCAAAAGGCGAGAGCCAAATTTTTTGCTTATGCACGATGCCGTCTCTAGAAAAAAAGAGGAAGCATAATGGCGGATTCATAACGTAGCATAATGGGTAGGCCCCGAGAGGGCGCTCATTGGTTGATTAAATCTTTTAGCGTTTGAGCCTGTCGGCTGAATAAATATGCATATGTAGTAGCTATTTGGGTAAGTGAATGAAGTAGACTTGGAAGTTTCGAAGCAGATACAATTATCTCTAAGTGAAATCAGCCGAGACTTGCAATTGTTCCTTGAGTTCACACTTCAGAAGCCGGGCAGCATGAGTCTCATCCAGGAGAAATGAATAGGTTAAATATTAAATTCAGAGCAAGCTTTTTGTTAATTGTTTTTTTTTCAAGAAACCGGCACTTCATATTCAAGTACATGTATCTTCACAAACACACTGTTATGAAATATTCAGATCTAATTATAATTACCCTCCATCCCTGCTTAAAATATATTCACTCCACAAAAATACCTGGTATGTTTAATTTGTGATGTTTTTCTATAATACATACACTAGACACATCTCCATTAAGCTTTACATTTTTTGCACACTCCTTTACAGAGAAAAGTGACACACATCAGATAGATAGATAGACAGTGTAGGATATTATATAGGATAGTACAGTGGCTTGTTATTGTATTTATAACTTTACCCTGGGATATGGATGAAAACGGAGTCAAAAAAATTACCCAAAAGAATTTAAACAGAAGGGCTTTTCCACCACACTTCTCTGGAATCTGAAATTGTTAATTAAAATCAACAAGAGCATTTAATGCATAATAAATTGTTCAAGCAAGTTACAGTTTATTATTCGTGCTGCATTTTCTTTCTGTTGGCAGTGCACTTATTTATAACCTAAATATTTGTGAATGAAATGAAATGTTATTTAAACCTTAAAACATTATTTGTCGCAATAAAATACAGAAAATGACATTACAAAGGAATGAGAAAATACTGTCTTATGTTTTACTGGTGTCTACTCCACTTGGCCTCTTCGTTAATGGCCCATAAATTGTTTTTAATGCAATTCTGTTTTCAATGAACAACTTTTTGGGTCCACAATTTCATCAGAAAAGCATAAGATGAACAGTGTCTTACTGAAATGACATCAAAGCAACATCTCCCTCAGTTGTCTGGAAAAGCATGGACAACTTAAAATGTTTCAAGAAGTGCATTTTTCAGGCATATTAACCAAAAAGGGCTGTCATTTAGTTTTCATATGCTTAAGAGGATTAGAAAGTAGCACAAACTAAGTTATTAAAACTATTCACTTTATGAGCCCCTTTGATGTGTCAAATCCAGGCATTGTTAACCATTTCTGTAAAGAAATTGAAGACGACCAAAAGGCATGTTAAATTGTGGTATATTATTTGTCCAGTTTATTTTTGAGTGGGCAAGTTGGATTGAATATTGTTTGTTGAATTTGAATCCTCCGAAAGGGCTCAAGTGCATGTTTTTATTTTGCAAAAATGTATCGTTGTACTTGCCTTATACATGTATCACAAGAAGGTAAGTGTTCTTTCAGCAAAACGAAAACGAATCACATAGGGATGTGTGTGAACTGTTTTCGTTTTGCAGAAAGAACGTACACGTTTTTTTGTGATCCGTGAACAGAACTTTAAAACGGTGGTTGTGTTTAAAATTCAGTCACTTGAAAAGTACATGACTGATTTGAATGATTCTTATACTAAAAGAAAACTTATGAATTGGGCTTTCATACCCAAGATTTTGAACGTGCTACATGAAGAACTTCACTAAAACAATGGTCCCAACATTTGGGTTTCGTTGTTTTGTTTTTTTACTCCCTCTGTATTGTGTACTTGCTGAATTAAACGTTGCTTTTCAAGACGGCTCTCACTCTTTTTCTCTCTCTACATGTATATTATACAGACCTAAAAATAGGTGTTCACCAACAAGTCACGCTGGATACAGCCATCCTGGATTGGACCATCATACGGGAGGTCATCATCATCATCATCTGCTTCCAAATCATCTGTGTCATCCAGCTCAGGCTGACGAAACTCCTTGGAAAGGTTGAAGAGGACACAGCAAGCCCTGATTATGATGCAGGCTCGTTGAGGTGACACTCTCATTCCCAGCGATAAGCATGGGATATTTCGCTTCAGTTGGCCAAACGTTTGTCCAACAGTGACCCTCGCCTTTCTGTGACTCCTGTGAATGAAACAAAGCATATTTGGTCCATGTTAATGAAAAATCCACTCTCTGAGGAATTCTAATCCTAATCTCCTAGCAATTATAAAAAGTTGCCTTTCATTTGTACCTGTTGTAATGCCTTTCAGCATTAGTCGTTGGTGCAAGAATAGGCGTCATCAGCCATGGCCGTAAGGCATACCCAGTGTCTCCCACCAGCACACCGTTGAGTCTGAACAAAATAAAACCAGTAGTTGTATCATTTATGACAAGTTCTGTAGGTGATATAACAAATAAATCAATTAAATCAATTCAAAACTTATGAAACAGTTTGCAGTAAGGATAACTTAAGACATGATGAACATACCTTCCATTGTCAAACCTCTCTCTGATGATGCTCCCGTAGATGATAGCATACAATATGATCTGGCTACAATATTAGTGATCCTGTAGTTGGCATCACAGATTGCCTGAACGTTGATACTGTGGTATCCCTTCCTGTTGACGTACAAATGTTCGTTCTCTCCTAATGGTGCTCCGTATAAACGGACGTGTGTGCAATCTAGTGCACCAACCACATTGGGAAACCCAGCAAGCTGGAAGAACTCATGCTTGGTGAGCGCTACATCTTGAGGCCGGACAGGAAACCTTACTTCTGCTGGTGCCAATCTTGATAAAGCAGCCACCACACGTTGGACTATGCGGCACACTGAAGGCACACTCACATCATGGAGGTCACCATGAACGGTGTAGAAGGATCCCGTTGCAAGGAAACGAAGAGTTGCCAGTGTTTGCATGTAGGGAGAAATTGCATTGCTTCGCTGTAAAGATTTGAAGAAAAAAAACCATAAGGACTACTGAGTCTTGCTAGAGAGTGTAGCTTAAAAGAAACAAAACGAATATAATATTTTTAACTATGTGTATCTCCATTTCCAGTTCCCTTTTTGATTTATTCCCTTACCATTACTCAAAACTTTAATATTTACATGTATGTGAGTGAATAAATAGGCACATATATAAACAGGCTTTAAGTTCAAGTTCCGTATAATGTGAGAGTCTGTTTATATGGGCTTAGGCCTACGTTATATGTTTTAAAAAAGTGCAGTCACTCGTGCTAGCGTCAATTGTAAAGCCAATGGTTCTTCGACCATGGCAACCTTCCCCCCCCCCCCCCCCCCCCCCGTTTTTCCCCCTTTGTTGCCTACAACTTAATTGACTGGCCCTCCTTGCGACGATGGGCGTCGCAATGGGGGTGTTGGGGGGAGGGAGGGGGGGGGGGACAAGGAAAAGAAAAAAAAGTGCAAAGGAAAATGATAAAGACGAGGTGCAAAGTCATTGCTGTTAATTTAATCACATTGAACGAAATGGGCGTCCACTGGGATCAATGGGCGTTGCCAGGATTTTTTTCTAGAGGGAGGGGGGCAGAGCACATTTCCTTTTTTTAGGGTGGGCTGGGGGACATTTGCCCCTTCCCCCAACCCATTCAATTAATAGCAATATGACTTTGCACCTCTTTCTCTCTCTCTTTTTGGGTGCTTTCCAGCCCCCCCCCCATCCTTCGGAAAGCCCAAGGAAATGTCCCCTTGTCCACCTTGGAAAAAAATAATAAATTGAGAATAAATTATGCTATAGCTTGTACAAGGATTGGGCATAATAATGTGCAACTTAAGTAAGATTTGAGGCTTTGCATGGTGGAGATACTAAATAATGAAAGGTTTGCGGAAACACCCTGTGCAACTTATTAATGTTTACAATGATAAATATTGGCATATGTTGAGATTGTAGTATCCAAAAAGTATATGCATACACAAATCATGCGGCTATATACAATAATAGGCCTTGGTATTGCTGTCTTGAACAAAGCGTCGAGGGAGCACCGGCCTCCCTTTTCAAGTTTTCCACGGCCAGTGATTTCTCAGTCCCTTCGCTGCATGCTTTCTGGCGAGAATTTTGCTCCATTCTATATATAAAAAAAAAAAATTCTTGTGACGCCCATGCTCGTGACGGGCAATTTCCATGAAAACTAGAATGGCGAAGCGACCATGGCTCACTGTCCAAGGCAGGAAGGGAGGCTGAAGGTAGGGTTGGGGATGGGCATGATGGAAGAGGATCAGGATTCTTGTTGATGTGCCTAGGTGTAGGGGACAGTTTTTAAATGTCAACATAAAAAGTCAACAGATGACCTAAGAAATACATGTGTATATAGGTTAGCCGTCACTGTATTATGGGGGAGTTTTCCATTGTTAGGGTAATTAGGACCCAGTTGTGGATTTTTGCAGCCCCAACAGTGTCTTCTGCTCCCCATACTTGTATTACCATGGGAAAACTCTTGCGTAGTCGCCACAAATGCAGAACAAGAATGGGTATACATGTACATGTAGACACAGAACCATCACCACCTCCCCCAAACCTTACCCATCCCAAAACCTTACCCCATCCCCAACCCGCCCCCTCCCCCTCCCAACCCCCTACCCACACCCATCCCATCTTCCCCTAACCATCCCCACCCTATCACCTACACATCCCAACCCCACCCAAACTCCAATCCTTATCTCCCTCCCCTGACCCCCTACACTCACCTACCCTATCTTCACCTATCTGGCCTTACCCACCCTACACATCCCCACCCTAACCCTTACTCGAATTCCAATATCCCGCCCACCCCATTCCCCCACCCATACATCCCCACCTGACCCCATGCAACCCCTACTCTGATCCCTATATACTGCCCCCCCCCCTTTATTTAACCCCTCCAACATGTAGAACAAACCTGGCGCCCCGCCATGCTTTCTGCGGCGCCCGCCATGTTTAAGAAGTCCCCGCCAAGCTTTAAAATCCTGCCGCCAGGTTTAAATTTTTTGACTCTACAGTGTACATTTACAACTAAAAGTATTTAGAAACAAGAATGACCACTTCATTTTCGAATAAAATTGAATGACTTCCCACTGAACCTAGTCTAAGTTTGCGATGCGCGCGGATCATAACTCACTTTATTTATTCTCTATGATCGATGCAGTTTAGTCTGGTTCTGACTATTCCGTTCTCTTCTATCATCATATTATTCGGGAATCGTCTGGTAACAAGATGTACCATTGTTCCATGCAAAATAGCCTACACGACCTACGTACTGTACGTATATACGCGAGCACACTTGTGTACTGCACTGCTTGGACTGCAGGCCTGGCGACGTGTGTGTTACTGTTATATACGTTTGCGGAATTTGCAGCGGGCATTGGCATCGTTTTTTAATAGTCTTTGACTAAAGGATGTTTTAAACCCTAGACTTTGGGGTTAAGGCTAACTTTTGTTGGATTTTGTATTCCATGAACTTCAGTTGTAGATAGCCTTATAATATAATAAAATGTTTCGTTTGCTTCCCAGTAAATTGCAGGGCTTGAAACGACAGCCACGACGGCCAGTGCCGTCGTTGCCTTCTCACTGGCCGAGGTGCCCCACAAAAAATCCCGTCTTCACGGCCAGTTTTGCCTTGCCCCATATTTACCTTGGCCGTGTTGCCCTTTTTGCAAAAACATCCATCAGCTTATTAGGATTTCAGTTGTTTTTCCACACATTGACAATGTATTTTTCGATGTCATCCCAGCCCGATTGGCCGATATCGGGGTTGTCTTAAAATCTCGCTGAATCAATCGCACGCACGGCCGGCCGGCCGTCCGTGGCCAAACACCAGCGATTCCCCATGCACTGTACGTACTATTAGGTACGATGTACACACACTGACAACTGAATCCCCAGTTCCGGAGTGTGCCGATACTTCAAGTAGCGACAACCCCGCCGCAAAAATATATATATGTATTACACACACACACACACACATACTGGTATTTACCTGCAAACGTGGACCCCTTAGTTTTACTATACAAATGAGGACCTAATTATTTCCACTGATTTTAATGAATATTCAATTTTCCCTTCAATGGAAGAAATTAAATAGCTTAACGTTTGAAATGACATCAACATTTAAAAAAAAAAACATTCTTTTAAATCCAGATTTTTTACTAAACAATAATGGACCTCATCAGTACACGGCAACTAAAGACTAACCAATAGTGGACGTCATATACACAGCAAATGAGGACTTGGCAGTCGGTATGAAGACTAACCAATAGTGGACGTCATATACAAAGCAAATGAGGACTTGCCAGTCGGTATGAAGACTAGCCAATAGTGGACGTCATAAACATAGCAAATGAGGACTTGGCAGTCGGTATGAAGACTAAACAATAGTGGACGTCATATACACAGCAAATGAGGACTTGCCAGTCGGTATGAAGACTAGCCAATAGTGGACGTCGTAAACACAGCAAATGAGGACTTGGCAGTCGGTATACTAGCCAATAGTGGACGTCATATACACATCAAATGAGGACTTGGTAGTTGGTATTAAGACTAAACAATAGTGGACATCATATAAACAGCAAATGAGGACTTGGCAGTCAGTATGAAGACTATAGTAAAGAGCAAGTAGTAGTATTTGATCTCATCGCAGTGGCAACAACAGACATCATTATCTGCATCATAAAGTTTACAATTGCTTTGCCTTAGGGCCAGTCATGGAAAACAAAATAGATTCCTAACACTGATGGAACACACCTATGTAATGTCACGGATCTTTGCAAAAACATGTATATCATATTTTCCACAATGCCTGCATGTAAGTTACCTGGATTTGCGTTCGCTATTTTTTTCTCAGTTTGATTTCCAGATACAGCGTGGTAAAAAACCGCAGCCCCAAAACGTACACCTTTTATACTTATTTCTTCAGATCTGTAGATATATAAAGTGCAAGCACTTATCATATATGTGAATAGGAAAAGTTGTCGGAGGAAAATGTTACCAAGAAATATCAATTCGGACCAGGAGTTTGGATCCCAGCACCAATTTTGTTAATCAAAGTGGGGTGGGGGTGGTCTTAAGATTACCGCACACAGTCCAAGACCAAATTATCCCGACTCTGGTTCACAAAAATGGTGCTACTATCAAAACTACTTAACCGAATCAGGATGGTTGGTACTATTTTCCTTCGAACAACATTTCCTATCCAAAAAATGTAGTTCCTAAACACTGAAAGTATGTTACTTTTTAAAGAGGGGGGGGGGGGGGGGGGTGCGGGGGTGCCAGTAATTTAGATTCAATTAAAAGTTAAAACCAAACATTAAAAAAAAAAATTTATCTACAAAAAAAATGCCTTCACGATGACAATAAGCTCAACTACATGTATATGCATAATAACACTTGATAGTGTAAATTAAAAGTGAATACAACACTGCAAACAAGAATCACTTGTGGACAATAATATAGCCAGTTTCATGGATGTGATTGCATTTTTGTTTATTCTGCAGCAAAAGAAAAATGTCAATTCCATGCCTCTTCTTGCAGGCAGGGCAACACTTATGTTATTCAGTTCAATGCGCAAAGAAAATCTCAAGTAAACGTGTTTATTAAAGGGTGAAACAGGCTCATTTTCTGTCTTAAAAAGTGTTAATACAATGTACCGGTAATTGAAATTATCCCAGTTCAAATTTAAAATGGGCAAATTTTAAATGAATTGTCAAGTATTAATCAGTCTAGCTGAAAATGCAAATATCTACAGTGGCAAGGTTAACAGCGCAAATAGTTATTTAATTGAAAAAATATTACAAAGCAATTGGAAAAACATATATTGCAATTGTTTTATACAGTAAATGTGTTGGCAAAAATGTCACCAGCTCTATGAAAAAGGGTATTAGTCGCGCTGTGCATTTTTGTGTAATGACCCGCACAAACTTGAGAGGGTGAAAATTTCATCAAAATGTGATTTTCATTTTTTTGTCATGAATGACATCTTTATAGTACATAATGTCAGGGCGCATTCACAGAACTATTGATTTTGATAATGGACAATTTTGAGTGCATTGTGCACACATCTACCACAGAGCTAGGTATTTCAAAGCCTGTTTTCTCAGTTGTGTAAATAATCCCAGTTCAAATTTAAAATGGGCAAATTTTAAATGAATTGTCAAGTATTAATCAGTCTAGCTGAAAATGTAAATATATACAGTGGCAAGGTTAACAGCGCAAATATTTATTTAATTGAAAAATATTAAAAAGTAATTGGAAAAACATACATTGCAATTGTTATATACTGTAAATGTGTTGGCAAATATGTGACCAGCTCTTTGAAAAACGGTACTAAGTTGAGCTGTGCATTTTTGTGTAATGACCCGCACAAACTTGAGAGGGTGAAAATTTCATCAAAATGTGATTTTCATTTTTTTGTCATGAATGACATCTTTATAGTACATAATGTCAGGGCTCATTCACAGAACTATTGATTTTGATAATGGACAATTTTGAGTGCATTGTGCACACATCTACCACAGAGCTAGGTATTTCAAAGCCTGTTTTCTCTGTTGTGAACCTTATCCCAGTTCAAATTTAAAATGGGCAAATTTTAAATGAATTGTCAAAATCAGTCTAGATTAAGAAGCAAGGTAATTAGCGCAAATAGTTATTTAATTGAAAAATATTACAAAGTAATTGGAAAAACATACATTGCAATTGTTTTATACAGTTAATGTGTTGGCAAAAATGTCACCAGCTCTAGGAAAAACGGTATTAAGTCACGCTGTGCGGTTTTGTGTAATGACCCGCACAAACTTGAGAGGGTGAAAATTTCATCAAAATGTGATTTTCATTTTTTGTCATGAATGACATCTTTATAGTACATAATGTCAGGGCTCATTCACAGAAATATTGATTTTGATAATGGACAATTTTGAGTGCATTGTGCACACATCTACCACAGAGCTAGGTATTTCAAAGCCTGTTTTCTCAGTTGTGTAACTTGAACTCCAAGGAAGAAGTTAATATGGAAATGCATTATATCTCAAGAGCAGGAGGGGCCATGTAGTTCTAATATACACCAAATGAAGGCTTAATGTACATTGTGGGCTCTCCATCCATGTACATAACTCAATTTCACAGTTTTGCATAATAATACCTATTTTTTGTAGAGCCAGTCACAAATGTACTACATGTACATCTGGCAATCAACAACATAAGCTAGCTTCCGTAGAAGCAAAACACCAAAGGACATTCTCAAGACAGCCAACCGAG